GCCGTACAGCAGGCCCTGCCAGTCACCGCCTCCCTGGTCGCGCTCTGTCCCCCGGAGGCCGCCGGGGTCCTTCGTTCCACCCGGAACGGCCCGATGCCCCGCCCGCCTCGGGAGCGCTCGCGCCCAAATACTGCCGCCCGACTTCTGGGGCTCCCTCGCTGTCCACGCTGATCGGACCGGTCACCTCCACGACCCAGGATCGCCCTCCCGCCCGCGGGGTCCCAGCAAGTGACTTCACCCCTGCGCACACAGGGCCCCTGGTCTCTGCTCCCTGCACGGTCCCCGGCACAACACTGATCCTCCGTCATCCAGTCTCACAGCTCCCGCCCCTTTGTCCTGCCTTAAGCCTCCCCCTCCCACCCCCAGCCGAGTCACACACTGGCTGCATGTGGGTCATGATTGGACTGCAGATGGGTTTTGTTTGGCTTCTTCAGGTTGAAAACAAAACCAGACAGTAATTTAGGAGATCTCTTTCTTAAAAGTCTTAGTAAATGAGTGAAAGTTGCTTGCCCACTCCTGCGCCATGGAGCTTGCTTTTCCTAGGTCACCCTGGTCCCCACCACGGCTGATTTGCTCTGAGGCATCTGAGTTTGAGACCCTTGTCTTTGCTGTCCTGACCCACCTCTCTAGTTGCTGCCCCCTCCTATGTCCTTCCAACAAGCACCTGCTCTGATCTCTCTCTCTCTGTGTGTCCCCAGATGGTCACCATGGGCCAGTGCTACTACAACGAGACCATCGGCTTTTTTTATAACAACAGTGGCAAGGAGCTCAGCTCCCACTGGCGGCCCAAGGATGTGGTTGTGGTGGCACTGGGGCTGACTGTCAGTGTGCTGGTGCTACTCACCAATCTGCTTGTCATCGCTGCCATCGCCTCCAACCGCCGCTTCCACCAGCCCATCTACTACCTGCTGGGCAACCTGGCTGCAGCTGACCTCTTTGCCGGTGTGGCTTACCTCTTCCTCATGTTCCACACGGGCCCGCGCACTGCCCGGCTCTCGCTGGAGGGCTGGTTCCTCCGACAGGGTCTGCTGGACACAAGCCTGACGGCGTCGGTGGCCACACTGCTGGCCATTGCTGTGGAGCGGCACCACAGCGTGATGGCCATGCAGCTGCACAGCCGCCTGCCCCGTGGCCGTGTGGTCATGCTCATTGTGGGTGTGTGGGTGGCTGCGCTGGGCCTGGGGCTGCTGCCTGCCCACTCCTGGCACTGTCTCTGCGCCCTGGACCACTGCTCACGCATGGCACCCTTGTTTAGTCGCTCCTACCTGGCTGTCTGGGCCCTGTCCAGCCTACTTGTTTTCCTCCTTATGGTAGCCGTCTATACCCGCATTTTCTTCTACGTGCGGCGGCGGGTCCAACGCATGGCAGAGCATGTCAGCTGCCACCCCCGCTACCAAGAGACCACACTCAGCCTTGTCAAGACTGTTGTCATCATCCTGGGTGAGTGGGGCCCTCAGCCTGCCTGGGGCCACAGGGACCCTGCCTCCCCCTAACCCCCTATCATGAGACCCTGGGAGACAAGGAACAAAACAAGTGACTTGATGGAGCATCATGGGAGGGGATGATTCGGGTGGGGAATGCTCTCCAAGGAGGTGATAGTTGAGCAGAGACCTGAATGCTGGGCAAAGGAAAAGAGTTCCAGGAAAAGGGAACAGAAAGTGAGAGCCCCAAGACAGGACCAGGCCAGAGCCTCCAAAGAGGAAAGGAAGCCCTGCAGAGTTTTTAGCAGGGAGTAATGTGGTCACTCTGGCTATTGGATGTAGACTGAACTGGGTGGGGAAGGTGGCAAGACCCCCCTCCCCAATGAGGATATACTCCCCCAGGGCAAGGAATGACTCCTCAGTGATCCCTTTCCCCTCACCAAGTAACCAGCTTGTCTCATGGTGACCTCCCTTCTTTCAAAGAACAAATATCCATATAGAAACGTCCAGGGCCCTGGCCACCTTGTACAAGTTAGGAAAGACAGATCAGGGAGAGGAGTCCCCTCTTAGCAGCTCTGCCCATCACGCTGGCAAGCCAGCAAGACAGGCGGCCCCTGACTGCCAGCTGCACAGTTACTGCCCGAGCTCTGGAGACCTCTCCAGCCCTGAGGTCCAGCTGTGGGTGCCCGGCCTCCCAACGGCTTTTCCTGCTCACCTCAATCTCCGTCCACAGGGGCATTCGTGGTCTGCTGGACACCAGGCCAGGTGGTACTGCTCCTGGACGGTCTGGGCTGCAAGTCCTGCAACGTGCTGGCTGTAGAGAAGTACTTCCTGCTCTTGGCCGAGGCCAACTCGCTGGTCAACGCAGCAGTGTACTCGTGCCGTGATGCTGAGATGCGCCGCACCTTCCGCCGCCTCCTCTGCTGTGTGTACTTCCGTGGGTCCAGCCACGATTCGATCCGCTATCTACCCTCTGAGAGGACAGCTGCCAGCACTCGCATCATCCTTCCCGAGAACGGCCACCCCCTGATGGACTCCACCCTTTAGTGACCTTGAACATCAGCGAGATGTGGCAGCCCCTGACCCCTTGCAGATGTGCCATGGCTCAACCCAACCAGCAGGACAGACTTCAAGGCAAATCCATGTTGTGGCATGGTGCAGCCCCACTGCCAGCCCTCCCTGGGGTGCGGGGTTTTGGGGTCATCTCCAAGCACCTGGAGAGAGTAAGAGGGGGTGTGGAAATCTGGCTCTTCAGTCATCTCAAGTTTGGGGATTTCTTACTGGACATTCTTCTATTTTTCTTGCACATCCCTTGTAAGCCCTGTGGACTGTTCCTCCTACGTGGTGCTGTGGTTGTTAAGGGTAGGAGAGGTGAAGGCTGCCCGGTGGGACAGGGTAACAAGAACAGACCAGGGATGCTCTGTCTTCCTGAGGCTGATCCTTTAGCAGCACAGGCTGAGGGGTGCCGAGTGGGAGCTGGGAAAGATACATGGCCCCTTGCAGCCTCCAGGGGCTGGCCTCTCCCTGATAGAATTGGGTGGCTCAGTGAGAAGGGCATGATACAGGAAGTAAACCTTTCTTTCCACTTTGACATCTTCAAAGCATTTTTTGTCATCAGCTCAGACAGCTCAGACAGTTCCTGTGTCCCAGAATTGTCCACCGTGGCTTGGACTGGCAGTTCCAACATGGCATCTCCTTGGTTCTGTTCACTTTTCAGTCACTGGCTGGCAGTTACTTTGTCTGTCTTATTGGAGTCTGATCTGTTGCCTTCTCTTTCTGTCATTTGTCTCCTCCATGTGTTGCTCTGCCTCCAGCTCCCCACCTGCCTATCTCCCTCCCTTCCCTGGAGCCCAGGGTGGTGTCAGGCCTACATGAGCTCTCTTGCTCTCACCTACCCTTTTGTCAGAGTCCAGATTGTTAAAGGTCACATATGTGCCCAGCCACGTCTGTTCCATGCCTGCCCCAACACCTACATTTGCACTTGGATCCTCAGATAATGCAATGCAGGTAGTGAGGTCCAGGATTTGAGAGTTGCAGTTTCTCAAGCTCCTCTGATGTGCCTGGTACTCTGATAAGCACTTTAAGTGCATTATTTAATCATCACCTGCATCTTATGGCACAAGTATTACATTTATTTTCTTGTAAGGACAGGGGCTCAGAGATTGAGATCTGGTCCATGGTTACACAGTTTGGAAAGGAAGGGGATAGAAATGCATCAAGGGACTAGAAAGGCCCCTGGGGAAAGAACGTCAGATTCTCACAAAGCTGGAGTTGGTCACAAGCTCAGCCGGGCTTTCCCTACCTCACCCACAGCCCCACAAAGCCTCAGATATGCCACACCCATGATAAGTGAGTCCCCTCTCAGATGCTCAGAGAGGCACCCTGCCAGGCACAGTATATGCCAGGAACTGGGTTCTCTGCTCCCCTCTCCCCAGTGAGGAGACAGTGTATGTCCCTGCTTTAAGATTCACATGTTGGGGGCCGGCCCGGTGGCGCACTGGATAAGTGCGCCGCTTGGGAAGCGCGGCGGCGCTCCCGCCCGAGGGTTCGGATCCCACATACAGACCGGTTCCGCTCACTGGCTGAGCGAGGCGCGGGGGCAACGCCGAGGGTTGCAATCCCGTTGCCGGTCCCCGGTCCGGTACGGGGGCAACACTGAGGGTTGCGATCCGTTGCCGGACACGGAAAAAGACAAAAAATAAAAAAATAAAATAAAATAAAAAAGATTCACATGTTGAATAACAGCTGCAAGTTGAACCTAATCAGAGGCCAAATTCTTAACACACTAAAGTATGCATCACTGAAGAACCAAAAACATCTAGATTCTTCTACCTTAAATGGGTCTAAGTTTCCCTTTGGGAAAACTCCCAGTCCCCTCCTCTGAGAGGAGGCAAGAATGAACTGAGATGCTGGGTACTTCTCCAGGGTCCAAGGTGGGCAGCATGGCTCCTGGGGTCTGGGTCTCCAGAGGTGACCACCCAGGCCAGCACCTTCCACCATGTGCCCATGCACTAGCCCATGAAAGATACAGTCCTTTCTGCCATGGAGCTTAGGGCCTGTTGAACGGACATGTCATTTTGGGTGCCAAGGCAGCCAACCAATTCTATGGGGTGGGGGACGGACCCCCAAATGGCCTCCAAAAGGCAATTCTGTGTCTCAGCCACTCTGGGCTGGCTTCTCTTGCGTCAGCATTCTCTGCTGGTCCCTGAAGCTTCCAAGTTCTCTGAAAGACATTATTCAGGCCACCTATGCAGTTCTGTGCTAGTGGCTGATCTTTTGTACAGGGTGCCGCTCTCAGGCCCCATGCATTCTATTACTTCCTGTTATTGGGGCCAAGTGTTGCGTTTCCTTCATCAGGGAACCTTCCCTGTTGTTCCAGGGATTTCCACTCTCCGAGGTCCCCTTTGTATTCTCCCCACTTCTGGCAATCCAGATGGTGTTCATATTTTCTGTCCTCAGAGTGAACAGGTTCGGGGAGGTTCCATGACTTTGGAGAAGGGATTTGTGTCCAGTCTGTTCCTTTTCTCTCGCTCGAGGATCATTTTCCAATGCCCTGAGTCCACACGGCTAGAACCAAACACACCTGTCAGGATTCGCTCTGACTGGGGCTGCACCTCGAGGTAGGCTTTAGGCAAGAATTCATCATTCATTCGGTCGCCGCGTGCTAGGTCGCCGCGTGTTAGCATTTCCGAGGCGGCTGGGGAGGCTGTAGCTGAGAGAACGAATAAACAAGCGAGGTGACTCGGAAGCTGGACCTTGACAGGTGCCTAGAATTGATTTCAGCAGTGGAGACAAGCGTTCGGTTCTGACGTCCTCGCTGCCACCACCGCGCACACCTGACCCCTCGGCCAGGTGAAAGTAGCGTGGAAAGCTCCAGGTGAAGAGCCAGGAGCCCTGTAACCCACGTGATGGGACTGAGGCTGAGAAGAGCATTAAGGGACCGAGCAGGGGGCAGGGGCTTGGGACTACCGGAAGTGAATGGAGGGGTGTTGGTAGGGTTCTGAGGGGCGTGGGGGGATCCGAGGAGGAGGGAGTGGCCTAAAGGACAGTAGGGGACCTGAGGCGGAACGAGGACTGAGGAGGTGCGAGGCTCTGAAGGACTCGTGTGTGGCGGACACGTGCAGGGTGAGGACCTCGGAAGCGCAGTGACGCCCACGTCCCCCATTCTCAAGCTGGGGTCAGGGGGCGGGACGAGCCCTTGCCTTGGCAACCCCCAACCGGGTCCTGAACCAGGTCCTGAGCCCGGGAGGAGGCTGCTGGGGGCGTGTCTCGAGGGCAGTGCGCGGCGCCGGTTGGCTGGCGGCGGCCGGGGGCGGGGCCAGGCGCGTGAGCACG